ATTTTGCCCTTTAGCTTCCTGAATATATTAGGCAAAAACACTGCCAATGTTTTTTGGTTTACACAGTGCAATAATTCTTTGCACAAAGTCTAGTTTACTTGGAGCAGAACTTGATTTTCTTTTAGCACAAACATCTGATTATACCCTATTCTTAAACAGACTATTTCATTCCTCTCCCTGTTTGGAATGCCATGAATGAAGATTGCAAGGCAGGTCTAATTAGTTCACATCTGAGCCCTTTGCATACTACAGCGCCTCACAAATAGGGTTAGATCTGCTAGGCACTTGGGTCCCTGGGAAGGCATCCCTGCACTCCCTTGTGAATCTGTCCCAGCCAAGAGATCATGTGACTATACAAAAATGAAATGCCCCAGTCATGACGAAGGAATGCACCACTAGCCCTGAGTTTTGCTCCAGGTGGATGGAACTAATTGGTTCCTACTGCAAGACTCTACAGTGGCCTGCTATTTTGGAATGTCTCCGGGGGTTACTCAGCTTACTGCTGGATGTGTCAGTGGTCGTTTAGAACATTTGCACACAGATTTAGAACGGAGCACGTGCACACTCTCTGGGCGAGTTCACTGGCTTTTCCTCTAAATATGGAGAAGCAGCTCCATGTGAAAGCGCACACACTTCTTCATTCCCTCCCTGTAGTTGGCTAATGATGCTGGAACGGGTGGCCTGGTATGGGGGGTGGGGGTCAGCACTGTTGGGCATCTGTTGAGGCCTGTACCTCTGAATGGGCTGGCAGGGGGCGGGGGCTGCTGCTGGTGCCTTTCAAGTTGTCTTCTGAAAACATGCAAGTGTAAAAAGTGATACACTTGAGAAGCACCCTCCACATACAGTGTGCTTTCCCTCTGGGCAGGTGGATTTTGCCTGGGGGAAGACAACTAGTGAACAGATAGTGGCAAGGAGAAGGTGGGTCTCCTCAGAGAAGGAGCTTCCTGGAGGCACCTGGCCCAAGGGCCTGGCTTCATCACTGGCTGCCGTGCTTGTTCACCTGTCCTTTGCACAGCAAGAAAAAAATGTGTAGGTCCTGCATATGCTTTGCGAGTTTTAACATTGTGTGTTTGGTACAACAACATCTGCAAAGTGCATAAGTGCATGTTTTAATTCAGAACCAGTCACCATTCTAGACCTAAAGATTTCTTATTTTTCACACTAAGCTTGTGGATAACCTGGCAGTGGGCCACAGACTAACAATCTGCAAAGCATGTTGTCATTAACACTTGATAAAACAAGGAGTTTGTTTTTTCTGCCATAACCGCTGGGATTCAGCTCCTCCACGTCTGTCACAAGTTGATAGTGTGACCTTGGGGAGAACACTTCTCAGACTCAGCGCTAGTCTTCAGCAGGTGAACAACTTTGCCTACCATCTCTGGACTCAGTTGCCAATTGAAAAAGGGAAATAACACCGATTGACCCACCCTGCAGCAGGTTGTGAGATATTTTTGCAAAATATAAGCTATTTGAGAATGGGAGCCGATGTGGTTAGCTGAATACTGCAAATGTCACCTCAGCAATTCTCTCTTTAGGTGGCTTTGGGAACCCATAATTCTCTTAGTTGTTGAGCTAAATGATACATTATAGTAAATGTGTAATTGTGATTGAGTTTGGATTTCTATAAATGCAACCTGCAGTTTCTGCAATGGACTAGGTTTGTCTTGCAGATCATTTTTCCTGCAGCGGGAGGATTTGCACTAATACACATTAGAGGTTTCAAATTTTTCTTCACTCTGAGATCCTGATGAAAATCCAACTGCCCCTGCATAAACTTTTAATCATTTCAAAACCCCACCATACACACATCCTCCCCTCACAGATGCTTTTTAAAAAACCCAAACTAGTCATATTAAATGCAATCACATTTTGGTGCAATTTGACCAGCAACAAGGGGATAGTAATGGTGATCTTACTAGGGCTGTTGTAAGGATTACTAACAAAGCAACGCTTTGAGCACTCAGGAAAAAAAAATATAAACAAGAAGCACACGCAGCATAGCATAAATTGACAGGTCTGCTTCTTGGGATTGTTGTGCTCATTCTAATTCCAGCCTCTATGATCTGGCTGCAGGTCCTCTGAGATGCGTGGCAGCACCCTCCTTGGTTTTCAGTGGGTCACCCATGTGTGGTTGCCATTTTTGTTTTCCTAACAGGTTTTCTGTGCCTTTAATAGCATCATGACAGTCAGCAATTCAACAGATATAGTGCTTTACATCACTGCATCTTCATGCCAAAAAAAAACTGAGCCAACCCAACATGAAACTTTTTGTGGTTAAGGAACGGTGCTGAAATAAAAAGTTGGCAATGGCTCACATCCTGGACTGTGATGATCAGTCATGTTGGCGGGTGGAAAGCTGAACCACTTCCTTTCCTGGTGCAAAGCTGAGGTTGCCATTTAGGGAACCTGTGGTCAGAAATAACCTGAAGTTGTTTCTGTTTCCCTTGATATATGTTCCTGCATGCATTGAGACCTGAGGCAATTGATACTTGAATTTTGGGAAGGGGATGTTAATTTTGCTCACCAGATCAGGGACAGCATGATTGGCCAAAAGCTACAACCTGAGCAACTGCATATGCCACTGACCCTTCATCGATCACTTGTCCTAGTTTATGGAGGGTATAAGATGATTCCTGCTAGATCAGATCCAGAATTAATCTAGTCCAGCATTCTGTGTTCACACAATAGCCAAGCAGCTGCCCACAGGATCCCACAAGAAGGATGTTAGGACAACAGACACTCTTGCCCCTGTTGCTCAGTAACTGGTATATTAGGTATACTGCCTCCAATACTGGAGGTAGTCCATAGCCATGGATAAATTTCTTCTTCATGAATTTGTCTGATCCCACTTAAAAGCCATCCAAACTGGTAGCCATCAGTACACCTTGTGGAAGTTTAGTTTAACTATACACAGTGTGAAGGAGGGCTTTTATTCTAGCCACTTTCTACAGTGTATCCATAATTTTAGACACCTCTATTGTCTCTCCTCATGCTCTTGTTTCTAAGCTAAACAATCCCAGTGAATATAACCTTTTCTTAGAGAGGAGCTGCTCCAGTCCCTCGATCATTTTAGTTGCCCTTTTCTGAACCTTTTCTAACTGTGCAATATCCTTTTTAGGAATAGTGACCAGAACTGTACACAGTATTTCTTCCAAGTGTGACTGCAGTGAAGATGTGTATAATAGGAGTATGATATCAGCAGTTGTATTTTCAGTTTCTTTCTAATTATGCCTGGCATGGAATTAGCCCTTTTTGCAGCAGCTACATGTTAAGTCAACATTTTTTTTTTTTTGAGTTTTCCACTACAACCCCAAAATTTCTCTCTCACTTTATCACTGCTGCTTCCTATGTGTTGTTACTTGAAGGTGGGATTCTTATTTCTTTTTATTACAGTCCTATATTTGAAGGGCCATCAGACCACTTTTTAAAAGACAGTATCTCTAGCTGAAGGTTGTTGAGTCTGTAAAGATCATGGGAGCTGCAGAGACCTTGACATTTCCCAACCACAGGTAGCACTTGGACAGCCTTTTCCAAATGCTGAGGCATATTCCACTTCCAGTTAAGCAACAGCAATTACTTCAATTTTTTAAATCTATGTAAATTAATAAGGTGGAGAAAAGTGTTTCTCTTCTTGTACCCCAGCCTTTTAACTGGAGCTGCAGGTAATTCACTGCAACTTCCAGCAGTCCGTGCAGATGAAGCAGAGAAAGAAAGTTAGCATCATCAGCCTGCGCAAATACGCTATTTTTATTTTTCCTCCTCCCTCCCCATCACTTTTTTCTTTGTGTACCATCTTTTTGGATTGTAAGCCTGCATGGAGAAACTGCCTTGTTTTATGGGTTGTATGTTCCCTGCTCAGGGAACCTTTTTATTCATTCTATTTGAATCCCACCTTTTTCTTCCAAAGAACTCAAGGCGGGCCTACATAATTGGCCTCCTTTCAAGCTTCGCCTCATAACAACAACCCTGTGAGGTAGGTTGGGCTGAGAGTCAGTGACTGGCCCAAGTCACTTAGTGTGCTCAGTGACTGTGGGGGACTAGAACCCAGATCCCCAGAGTCCCAGTATGCCCTCCTAACCACTACACTGCACTGCCGCTCCTTTTGGCTGAGGAGTACAAATATTTTAAGGCCACAAAGTACCTCAAGATCCCTACTGCTGTCTGGGTAAAGCTGGCAATTGTGGGCCTTTGCATTCAATTGCACCTTAAATAAAAGGACAAATAATCCATCACCAAGCCAGCCCTGTGGAGGTTAATGTATCTCCAGCACCTTTGTTCAGGATTGCTAATTATGAGGTGAAAAGAAAACCACACGGAGATTATCCGCAATGGATGTGGCTGGTCATGAGGAAAATTGAGCCCTCAGCTTCACAGAACCACGTTAATATTAACGAGAGCAACAGCGGCTGTTAGGATGAATGGCACGGGTATGAACACGTAGTAAAAACGCTGTTAATGGAATGGATGGTTTAATAACGACGCCCATTCATATTTATAAATCTTCATTTCAATGAAGATGATATGAATTGTCTCAATTTTTAAAAAATCCTCTTGGCCGGATGTTATTAATTCTGTCTAACGGATACTAAGAAAACTGTGATTACGAATACACAATGTGTTATTAACGTGAGAGGCAGACGTGGGCGCGAGCGCCCCTCAGCCGGCTCGAGGGCGAAGACGTTGGGGCCAACCGCGCATGCACAACGCCGAAAAGGCGCGCGCGCGCGCGCGCGCGGCAGGCAGAAACCGAAGCGCGGACGGGCCCTGCTGCGCATGCGCACAGAGGCGCTACCTGCCGAGGCGCGCTGCCTTCGGCGATCGCTGTTCTTTTAATAGCCTGGGCCGGGAGAGGAGACTTTGTTTTTGTTTTTTCCGTGGGCGGGGCTTAGAGCGCCCTCTCCCCGGACGCATGCGCCCGCCAGACAGAACGGGGGCGTGTCCGCGCGGCGCGCAGGCGCCCCGCTAGTAAAGCGGCGGCGTCCGTCGTCGTTGTCGTCAGTTGGTCAGCGCTCGCCGCCTCGCTCGGAGCTGGGTGCTCCTTCGCCTGCCCGGGACTCGCGCACGCGCACCGTCCGCCCCGCGAGAGAGACCGCCTGCGAGCGATACTATGGTGGATTACCACGCAGCAGGGCAGCCGACTTACCAGTACGGCGGCAATGGGCCGGGCATCAGCGACTACATGGCCCAGGAGGACGACTGGGACCGAGATCTCCTGCTCGACCCAGCTTGGGAGAAGCAGCAGCGCAAGGTGAGCGAGGAGCAGCGTTCGGGCCGGCGCCGCTTCCTTCTCCGCCATTCGGTGCCTTGGCAATAATGCGGATTGACGAAGAGGGCGCTTCTGCACATGTGCAGAGTGCTGCCTCATCCTCCTCTTCCTCCCTTTTCCCTTCGTACCTCCAGGGCAAAGGTTGGGATTGAGGAGGGGGCGAGGGGGTTTCCTTGTTCACAGGCGCGCGCGCGCGCCCCTCTCCGTGCCCGCATTTGTGCAAGTTTTTAAACTCTTAAAAACGCACCGAGTGCTCCCTAACTTGTGGCCTTTCCTGCTGTTTATCCGAGATTTCTTAAACCTGAAAAAAATGCAAAAGCCAGCGCCAGCAGAGGAGGGAGAGCAAGCCCGTCCCGAGGGAGGGCATGATTCGTGGGGCTCCTGTGCTCTTGCATTTTTAAGCTGCCCCCGCGAAGAAGAGATGGGGACAGACATCTGGTTGGCTGAGGAGGCTTTTGTCCTGTGCAGAAGGCCGAAGTGGCAGAAGCGTGGAGGCTGGGGGGAGATGGGGCACCCTCTCGCTTATCGGGGGTGCGGTACCCGAGTTTGGAGGGGACACTCTGGCGTCTCTGTCGGGAAGCGCAATACGAATTTAATGTGCAGGGCTGCTCAAATCAGGGAATCATCATTAAGTGCAGGATAAGGTGTTCGGTACTGTCCAGTCAAGAGGAGTGTGCTCCTTCCTGCCAGTGGTGCGTGATCTTGGGAGGGCTGTGTTGATCTTTGACCCTGTCGGTGTGTGCATGAGCCTGTAATGAAGAGAAAGGGGTGGAGGGGTGTTGGGGGGGAGGGTTGAGCAACCAGAACTTGGCTCAGAAGGGGGAAAACGGGGGGGGGGAGAGAAGAGGGGCTGCTGGGTTTTGATGAGATGAAGAGTTCAGGGCTTCTGGCTCTGGGAAGCAATGTAGAAGTGATCAGAAGGCAACTTGGCGGGCTCATGGGGACCTTAGGGTGATTTGGAATGTGGAAATCTGGGGCTTCCAGGAGTCTGCAAAATGGTGGCTCTGAGTGTTGAAGTGTGTGTGTGTGGGGAGGGGGGTTGGCAGATCCTAGGGGTTGCTGTAGGTTTTTTTGAAGGGGGTAGAGCGCCCTAAAGTGTGGTGCTGTGGGAAGGTAGATTCTCAGAGGGCTTGCTCTTGGTTTGGATGGCCTTGACAATCCCTCCCAGGTCTACTCAGAAGGCAGATCTTATTGAATTGATGTCACTTCTCCAAGGTAAGCATGTGTGGGATTAGAGGCTGCAGCCTTCTCTTATGGAGCAACTCCGGGGGATTTAGAGCGCTCCGAGGATGGCTGGCAAGTGTGTTTTAAGAGGCTAAGTCTCCTGGGTGTGGGATTTGAAGGGTGCAAGGACAGGTCTCCAGGGCCGGCGGCATGTTTTAGTGAGCAGAAGGGTCTAGCGTGTCAGGTGGGGGTCTGAGTCTGAGTGCGGAAGGGTGGGGGGGCAGCACAAAGGAAGGAAGGAGGCCTGTGAACCTGCTGCACTTCGGATCTCTGCAGGGAGTGGTATTTCGGGGTGATTGCTCACTAGGGTATAATGGGGTGGGCTTGCGGGGCCTGTTTGTCCAGGCGGGCCTTCCACAGCCACCTGTGCCGTGGAGGTTTGAAGGACAGGGTGAAGCTTAGCTGCTGATCAAGGTGGCCGGCGTTTGCCAGGGGAGGGGAGGGGAGAGGCAGGGCTGGGTGGGGCGGCTCTAACTTGCCTCTGGAAAGCTGAATGTTGCCAGCCTGCCCGCTGCTTGTTCGGCATTCTCCCTTGATTGATTCATCCTGGGGGGCGGGGATGGGAAGAGGGAAAGGATGGCTTTTTCCCATCCTCCTGCTCTGCTTGGCTGGGGGGGGGGGGGGGGGGCGGGGCAGGCTTTTTAATGACAAATGGCTCACAGCAGAAATCTGGCTTGCTCAGCCTTGGTTATGTGTCCTGCTTTTAGGGGTGACAAAGCTCTCCCTGCTTCTCCCTCAAGAGAGGTTCCTTGGCCGGTGAATGCCAGAAAAGGGAGAGGGTTTTCACCTTGTACGCATGATGTCCCTCCTTTTTTCCTCTACTTCCTCCCTTCCTCTGGAATGTGTCTGGTCTGTATTGTTAGTAGTTACTTCTAAATTTTAAAAATATCTGTACAGAATCAAAGGCATTTTAGGCACTTCATAAGCATAGCAGTTATGATGAAATCATTTGAAATCCCAGGCACTGCTGGCAGTTGTTTGGCAAATTGTGTGGGCTTATTGGACATGTCCGCAAACTCCCCTTCCATAAAAAGTCTGCCCACTCCCCAGTTTTCCCTGCTGTTTTCGGTCACTTCCCTGGGGTCAGCTGTCACGTCCAGTAGCGCTGACTGGTATTGTTCTCGGTCCCTGCTAGGCAGCCGGGGTTTCTGCTCCCATTACTGTGGCCTGTGATGTGGAAATATTTGTTCTGGGTAGACAGAGTTCTTTAGTGGCGTGTGCTGTTACTGTGGCGAAATCCTCCTTGGCTTGCCCAGTGTGAAAAGGCATGTATGTGGAGTAAGAAGACTACAGTTAACAGAGATACACTAGATTGGACTCTTAGGCATTTTCCTCCCACCACCTTGTGCTGCTTGGATGTGAGACATAGATGTGTTGATGTCCATGGCCTTCGTAAATGGTGTAGTGTGTGGGTTTCTAGAGAATTAAGGCCACAGTAGCTCATGGGCAGAGTTGCGAACCCAGATGTGTCTGATTGAAGTCGTCGCTTTTCTGTGAACTTGGTGGGTGGCCTCAGTGGCTCTCCCGCAATACTGACCATCCTTATGGGACTGTTGGTGTATTGGAGGGTTATTGGGGGAACATAGGAACATGCTCAAGTGCTGCACGAATGCGTAGCTTTGTAACTGTTCTGAGCAAATACGACAGGATCCTTCCTGGCAAACTAGATCAGTAAGGATTTATTTCTTTTTCCAGCAAGCTGTTGAGGCTGGAGTTAAACCCCTCCCCGCCCCACACACACGTTCTTCCATGCCTGTATTGATCCAGTCTTCATGCCTCTCTGGACTATGTACTTCTCAAGCCATAGGGAGCATAACAGAATCCTATGGACAGGATATTTGTTGGAGATCTTGATGTGTTGTTGAGTGGAAAGAGCAGGAAAATATCCCCTTCTCCTCTGCCTGTGGAATTACTCCACAACCTGAGAAGAAGAATATGATTCTGCAGAAGGCTGTTGGGGGTGTTGCATTTGTTTCCTTCTGTAGGGCAAGTAGTGGTGAAGCCAAACTGGCCATCTGCTATTTAGTTTAATTATCTTAATTGCATGCTGTCTTTAAGGCTGAGCTAAGAACGTTGGAGCCAAATTCAAGGAGGCACGGGACCCTTCAGGCTCTGAGTTGGCAGGAAGACGCTCCCTGCAGGAATCGCTTTCTGAATTGAACGAGCATGTGTTGATCAAATGCTTGTAAGGAGCCTCTGCCTTGCAAGGTTTTCCACCCCCAAGAAGAGCGGGACTGAAATCAAGATACCAAAGTGGTAGTCACTAGACTTATGCGCTGAGTGAGAGCCAGCAACGCCGCTAATGACTTTCCCATGTTTTCTGGCATAGCTGTGGCCTGGAGGGAATGCGTATGTCTCTTTCCAAAAGCCTGTTCATGTAATGGTTGCGGGGTGGGGGTGGGGAGGGGAGAGGAGAGGAGAGGAGGCGCAGCCTCTGAAGCCCAGTACAGTAGCATCGCTGTAACCGCTACACCTGGCTATGGGCTTTGAATCAACCTTTGTGACGTGGCACTGGAACTATTTTTACGGGAGAGCGCAGCGAAGAGCAAAGCATTGCAGACTGCATCGGGCTTCCACACCGGAGGAGGCACCTTCTCCTCTCGAGCTTGTTTGAAGTATCGCATGAGGCACAGCTCTGCTCCTTCTCTGCCCTGCTTCATCAGCAGGATGAAGTTGCAGCTGGTAGGATCCAAGGAAGGGAAACTCTTCAGGCTGTAGAATTCATCTTTGGGTGCTTATGCACACCTCCCTGTGCAGAGAAAAGGAAAGCAGGACCCTGAAAGGGAGGGGAGAGGCCAGGGAATGAAGATGTGCAGGGGATTTCTGGCGTACCTGCATCCCCACCCTCAGCTGCAGCCTGAAATACTGCAGTCCAGCATTCTGCAAATCACATGGACAGTTCTCCTTCCCAGTTCCAGCAAGGAAGGTTGATAGCACAGCAGAGCAATCGCTGCCGTTCTCATCCTTGGCCTGGGACAGATCAAAGAAAGGGGTGGAGTGGGATCTGTGGCTGCGTTCAGGCCATGCATTGGACTCGGGCGGCTGGAGAGGAGCACCCACCACAGCTTGCTACTTAGGAGTTTACCGTGTTCAAAGTACTTCTTAAGCACTTGGGAAGTATTTCATTGCCCTTAAGTTGAAAATTGGGGGTGCTGCTGCTGAAGTCATGTGCCTTGCCTCAGGTTCCCCATTGAGATGAGGCTGAGGGTGGAATTTGAACTGGGCAGGTCTTCTCATTTCCATGCCTCTCCTGGGCTTCCCGCTTAACACTCGGAGAACTGGAGCGCCTTTTCCCCCTCCAGTTTACTCCTTAGCAACTTCCTGAAATGTCCTGACACAGAGTGTCCACTTTATGAATTGGATGTGCAGTTCAGTAGTCATCTGGAATCGATTTTACATAACCATTTCAATCCTGCTGGGCTGAAGCTGTACACAGCATTGCTTAGGGCCTCGAACTCTTGTTCAAACACAGTTGCAGAGAAGTGTTTGGCTAGAAAGACTCCAACTGCTTCTGTGCTGATCAAACTTTGACAAACATCCTTTAAGTCACATTCTCAGCAAGAGCTCAAATTTCTGTCTTTCTGTCTGTCTTTCTGTCTTTCTTTCCAGCCTAGTCATGCTTTGGTTGTGCAATTAGAAGATCTGGCTTTTAGCAAGTCATTCTCCCTGTCTCCTATTTTACTCTTGTGTGACGGGAAACCCAAGGGAATGGCAAGCCTCTTGCAGTGGTTGGTCTAACCCCATATGCTTAGGAAATG